GGGACTTGGCCCTTGTGTCACAGCAGAGCGTGGGGTCCAGCAGCTCCCTCTTGCAGTCCCAACTCCCTTTAGGAGCAGAGCCCTGCGGGAAGCCAGGATCTTAACAGGTCTGCACCTGCAGGGGCCCAGGGGGGCTGCGTGGCCCGGGCTCTGCTGGAAGATGGGACCTTCAGGGTCCGGGCAGTGACACGGAGCCCCCTGAAGAAGGAGGCCAAGGAGCTGAAGTGTAGGGGAGCTGAGGTGGTGAAGGCGGATCAGGACAATGAGCCGTCGCTGGAGCTGGCCTTGGCAGGTGCTTACGGAGCCTTTGTTGTAACCAGCTTCTGGGAGCATGGCAGCAAAGAGAAAGAAATTGCACAGGTACGGGTGCTTGCTGTAACGGGGACCACAGGAAAAACGCCCTGGGAGGGAGGGATCGAGGGAGAATCGTGTGACATCGGGGTGGGGGTCATAGGACAGCTCTTGACAGCTTGCCAGCCATGATGGTTCAAGTGCCCAGTCCAGAAAAGTCCTGAGGCCTCACAAACAAACCAAGTCTCAGTTCTTGCAAAGCCAAAACTTGTTCCTTCATGCTCACATGGCTCCAGGATCTGGTTCCTTCAGGCAGTGGTTTAATGCCACAAGATTTGGTGTGGTGGAGAGCGCTGCCAGGAAGCCAGAGTAGCAGGAGTGGGAAGACTCAGCTCCACAGAACCTTCCCGGGGCTGAGCCAGGACTGTCGCTGCCTGCAGTCCTGTACTTCTCTGCACTTGCAGCTTTGGGGCCAAAATGTGCTGCAGTATGAGAAATCCCAGGGCCTTCCTCAAGGGTGGTGTTCACCCCCAGGAGTGATTTCTCAAGGTGGCATGATTGCCATGCCTGGATGGCAGCAAACAAAAGATAAGATACATTAGGGCAGGTACGTTGCCCTGGCAGATCTTTAGGGCTGGTGTTTGTGTGCTTGATGGAGGAGCTAGCATCAAAGCTGGAGGGTGTGTGGGCTTTCTGAGGGTGTAGGGTGGTATAAGCAGAGGACTCGGCTTCACCTGGGCAACACACAGGGCTCGCTGGGTCTGCTCAGCCCTGGTTCCAGCTGAGGGCTCAGGGTGCCAGATGCTGAGGAGCTTGCTCAGCTGGCATGTGTTGGATCCTGCACTCATGCCCAGTGCAACGTTGGGAAAGGGTGCTATGATGAGAGCCACAGCATGTCTCATTCCCCTGTTCATGGCTGGCTGCACTCTTCACCCAGGGAAAGTGTCTTGCTGATCTGTCGAAGCGCCTTGGTCTGCGCCACGTCGTGTACAGCGGCCTGGAGAATGTGAAACAGCTGACAGGGGGCCAGCTGGAGGTGCTTCACTTTGACGGCAAAGGCGTGGTGGAGGAGTACTTCCAGAAAGTCGGTGTTCCCACCACAACCATCCGGCTGCCCTTCTACTTTGAGAACTTCCTCTCCATCTTCAAGCCACAGAAGGACCCTCAGGGAGACGCCTATGTCCTGGGTACGATGGGACCGCTCGCTCTCCAAGTCACTGTCCTGTAGTTCTCATGGACCTCCCACTGTGCAGAGGCTCTCTGGGCAGTGGAGAAACCACTGAGGCTGCAGACTGATGGGTAAAAGAGGCTGTGCCAGCTTGCCCACAGCCAGTCACAGCTGCATTATGGTCCTTCAGACCTGTTTGGTGGCCTGCAAGAAATGAGTGACATCCCAGTCTGGTTTCTAAGTGCTGAGGGCTGCTCTGCAGATCCCAGCGTGTCTCAGGACACCCCAGCTCCCTACAGCTGGGAGGTCAGAGGTGAGGCTGCAGATCCAGGCGAGTCATGGTGCTCCTCTGGCCCCTGCAGTCTCAGCTGAGCTCTGCAGATGCTCTCATGGCTTGCCACACTTCTTTACCTCATGTTCAGAGGCTGGGTGCTGAAAAGTCTAGCCCTTCTTCGGCACTGGACTGCGCTCTAACCAGGCTCAATCTCTCCCGTACAGCACTGCCCATGGGGGACACCCCCATGGATGGGATGGCAGTGGAGGACTTTGGGCCTGTTGTGGTTTGCCTGCTGAAGTCCCCGGAGCAATACATAGGCCAAGTGATCGGGCTCAGTGCTGGCAAGCTCACCGAGGCAGAGTATGCCGCTGTCCTCTCCCAGCAGACAGGCAAGACCGTGAGAGCCAGCAAGGTAGGAAGCGTCCCTGGGTGTATGAGATGCTCTTGAGGTGGGGGGGCAGCTGACTTAAGGCCCTACAGGTTGCCGTGAGGTGGGAATGGGGTGGATGATCCTTGTGCCTTCCCGACAGTTGGGTGCTTCACAGGTTGCTGCCCTAGCCGGGCTCTGGGTGAGCACCCCTGCCTGGCAGCAGCACACCCAGACTCTCCGGTTGGTCTGGAATAGTCAGGGCTCCTGTGCTGGGGCTGAGCACAAACAGCAGTAGCAAAACGAGTGCTGTCCTGCCCCAGCAGCAAGGTCAGGAGCTGCTGGGGTGCAGAGCCTCATAGCTCGGTGTACGGGCTTGGTACAACCCAGCACTGGTGTGCAGGATGAGTCCCGCTGCCCCTGCGTGCAGCCGGAGCACACATTGGCGCCGAAACCGTCCTGTTAGTATTATCACGCAGACAACTCGCGCTCATGGAGCCCATGGGTGCGCCTGGGCAAGTCAGTGCCGGCCTCTGAGGGTTAACTGAAGCAGGAAGTCTACAAAGGAGCCAGGGGCCTGGCAGTTGCTGGTGGGGCTGGGCACTCACAGAACAGATCTGTGCTGCCTGTCCCTCCCTTCAGCAGGTCTTCCCCGAGGGCTTTGCTGTGTCACCCTTACAGTGCTCTGGCCTCTCCCTGCCCCATGACTTTTTGTGTTTTATGTTTGCGCGTTGGCTGCACTGCTCCCCTCTGGCAGCCGATACAAGGGACAAGGGGTGTGGTGGCTCCTGGTTTTGAGAATGAAGGATGTGTCAGCAGAAATTGAGCACCTCAGATGCTTGCTGCAGGTTCTGCTTTGCCAGGGACAAATAAGCAGCTCTGTTCTTCCCAGGGCCCCACACAATGTAGAAGCCCGGGGCTCCACCCTTTGCTTCAGGCAGGGAGTTGGGTGCTGGGGTACCAGGGGCAGCCTGGGCTGTGCTCTGGGATCCCCCAAGCCTGTTTTGAGAACTCCTTAGCCATGGCTTGTGCCCTGTGCAGGGAAGGACTCCCTCATAGCTGCTCTGGGCTTTGGCAGCTGGGAGAAGTGGGTTGCATGCCCAAGCCCTTGCCCAGGCCAGCTGTGCCGGAGTGTGCTCAGCAGCACTGCCCTGCCCGTGGCTGCGGTTTGAGGGGAGCTGGCTCAGGACAGAGCCAGAACAAGCTCCTCAGCATCTGTGCGACACAAGGGAAAGGCCTCAGCAGTCTCTGCCCTGTGAAGACAGTGGGGGGTGTGTGTGTGTCTCCCCCCCGATTATTTTTGCAGATCTCACCGGAGGAGTATGAGAAAAGTGGCTCTCCTGGGGCCAAGGAAATGGCTGCAATGTTCCGTTTCTATGCCCTGAAGCCAGACCGCAACGTGGACCTGACCATGAAACTCAACCCCAGGGCCCGCACCTTCCAGCAGTGGGTGGCGGACAACAAGGCCGCCTTCTGAGCCCACCCTCGCTCCCCTTCCACCCGAGCTCTGCAGCAGGCAGCAGGACCCGGCCATGAGGTGGGCTGTGCTGGGCTACACCGCCTTTCCAGGAGCACCCTGGGGAAAGGCTGACCCTGCCAGAGCTGGAAAGAGCTTTGGGCCATGCGTGTGCTGCAGGGCTCTCCTGCGACTTGGCTGAGGCTGTTTACACAACTGGAATGGGAGGAAAGGCTGTACAGCTGCAGGCAGGCAGGTGGGAGAAGCGCTTCCTTCAGAAAGGTGTGTGTTTAGCTTAGTTTCGTGGCTGTAGGGTGGTGGGAGCTTGTTTTCTCACACTCAGCTTCTTTCCTAGGCACTACTTGGTGGGCTGAACGCGTAGTACCTCTGGGCTCCAAAGGGCAGTGCCTTCTTTGCAGCCAGTGCTGATGCCCTCGGCCAGCCCACAGCCAGCATAGGTGCAGGCTCCTGAGCGAACAGAAAACACTGGGGTCTCTCCCTGGAGCAGGTTCAGGCACCACAGGCAAGCCAGCAGGCAGCTCCACCTTTGGGCTCCTAGATATAATTTCAATCCCTGTCCCGTGAGTTGAACAAAACCTTTGCAAGACTGTCCAACTTTAGGATAGTCACTTAAAAAAACTACTTCCCCCACCCCACCAAATGCTTACGGTACTGCTTGGCTGAGAGCTCTGGGCTTTGGCAGTCTTTGCCTGTGGTTAGAGTCCACCACAGCCACCAGAGATGCTGGAGCCATCTAGCCCTGTCCTCTCCTTGTCCAAGACTGGGACTGGAAAGGGGCTAACAGACAAGGCTGGAAGAGCAGACGAGGCAGCAAGGCACAGCATGTGTTAAATATCTTTATGAAGTCAATCTTATTTACATGGATACAGAATCACTTTACAGACAGTTTAATCAGGAGGCAACACGTGCTTTAGTTCAGCAAATTAAGAAGGGCAAGACTACGACATGTCCTTGTTTAACTGGTCGATTAGTATGTGGGCTGATGGTACCTGCACAGTATAACTAGCAACAGCAGGCTACAGGAACCATGAAAGTACTCACTGCAAGAGCTCACCTGGAAGGAGCAATCCACTTCACTTGTAATCTCACACATGTAGGAACAATGACTCTTTGACCAATCATTTAGGCTACAGGTGTTGCGCTAATGTAATAAAAGATTTTTGTCCCAAACTGGCAAAGGGCTTGGTGATAAATGTGTACCCATTCAGAAGTGACAGCATTTGTGGTGTGACTTTACTTAATTTGAGGGGCAGGAGGGAAACCTGAGGCAAAGTGCAGACTCCATCACTGCTCTTTGTGCAGGAAATCAGCAGGACTAAGAAACCCCACGGCCGTGGCGGGAGCCAGGGCAGTGGGGCTCTGACAAGTCCCAGCCACAGGGAGACTTCCCCAGAGGTGTGCAGGACAGCCAGGAGGGCTGGTGTGAAGACAGGGCTAAAACTCACTGACCCACCACATCTCCTGGGAGGAGAAAAGCAGTGACAAGTTCACCAAGCACATCTAGCATTCAGAAGGGCACCTGAGTGAGCAGCAGCCATCTCGGACTCCATACAGCAAAACTGCTCCACTCCGTGCTGGAAGGACAATTTTTATTTCACATTTCTACTGTTCTGTATTCTAAATAATACTTCAGCTTTAATGTTTACCAAATAAGCTTCCAGCAGCAGTAGGGACTGTGGAGCAACCTCAAGAGAGCGCTGCATTTCTGCAAAGCTGGCGTTTTCCTTCATTACCATGTCCTAGGACGCGGGGTGGGGGTTGTATCCTGATGGTGGTTGGTGCCTCAGTGGTTTGTAGCCTCTCCAGCTGGGGTTCTCACCGTGCTGCTGACTGACATCCTTCACTCTCCAGAGCCTGCTGCCAGAAAGATTCTTCCCCGACTGCAAAGACAATCTGCTGCTGCTGCTGGCTCCTAGTTGCCAGTAGAACGCTTCCCTGTGGTTGAAGCAAGAGCAAAGTTTAAAGTTTCCTGACTGAATCGGCCTAAGACACGCAGCCCTGCAGCCTGCTTTGCAAGTGCAGGCATGAGAGCACCTCCCTGCCGGAGCTGCTGTCACCCTTTGTCAGTCACACAGAATAGAGGAGTTTGAAGACAGCAGGAAGTTGAGCCCCTGGAACCTAAGACACCAGTGCCTGCCTTAGATGATTTCACGTCTGCCCCGCTCCCTCACTGCAGGCCAACACCAGCTAAATGGCACCCCCAGTTGTAACGCTGTGCTCCTTTGTGGTGCGGGCTGTGCTACACTTCACAACCAAGACTGATTCCTTCCCGGTGCTGTAAGCCCATGGTAGGGGCGAGTTCAGCCTGGTGTATCAGCACCAGCAGCTCTGCAGGCCCACCTGCGTCTCCCGGCAAGCCCGGGCCTTGCAGTGGCAGCAGAACTGCCCGATCCCAGCTTTACCAGCTCACGGAACACCCTCGGTGCTTTAATCAGGTACAGCCACTGAGGGGACAAGGAAGCAGAGCTGCAGGGCAGGCCAGCAACCTCCCTGAAGATGCATCCAGTATTCTTGCTGTTTTTCGCTGCAGCAACAATGCAATTCAGTCCCTGGCTTTTTGCTCCAGGTCACAGGGGACAGCTAGGGCTTTTCACACCAGTGGCTGGAAGGCCTGAGGCTAAGTGAGAAGCAATGCTGTGCTTTTGCTGCTTCTACCTCCCAAGAAGTGCAAGTTCCGCTTGATGTGGAGGAACGACAACAATAAAACACAAGAGGCCTCCTACCTCAGATGGGGTGTCAGGAGCTAAACATTTTCTTAAGTTTGGAAAGGAATCCCTCCTTGTTCTCCTCAGCCTCAGGCCTATCCCCGCCTGCGTCAGCGCTAGCCGTGGCCCTGCCACCTGGACACAAACAGCAAAGGGCTGCAGTCAGATACATCTCCCATCAGTAGCCAGCACCCCTGACGAAGTGAGAGGGTTATTTTAGATGAGGAATCATCAAGTCCTCTAGTTTTGCCAGCGTTCTCATGCATGGGCATCTCTGCCGATAAGCAGTCACCCAGGGCTGTACCTGGCAGCGAGCTACAGTGCGGGGCCACTTGCAGTGGAAGCACTGGAGATCTCGGACCCCAGAAGTGGAAGAGAAGACCATGAGCCCAGGTAACACTGCTCCCTGCCCCTCTCCCCAGCCTTCCAACTGGCAAGGGAATGCTTGTGCTGCACAATCGAGTCAGGGACCCCACAGGCTTCGGAAACAAGTGCTTGGAATTGAGTCAGCCACTAAAAACAAGTCGTTAACGTGACCACAGCCAGCCATGACTTTACAGGGAAAAAAAAAAAGCTGTATTGGTGGTTCCTGGAGCAATCTCCCTGTTTCATGGTCATGTCATGAGCCTTTACAGCAAAGCGGTGCAAAACCATACCAGGAACCTTCTTCATGTAATGCTCAGTTGCCTCTGCTTCAAGGAGAAAATGAACTCAGGCGAGCAAGAAAAAAGCTACAAGTATTTCAGAACAAAGGTCCAGATAAGGAATCCTGCTGGCAACAATGAGCATCATTTTCCTGTACAAACAGGTCCTGAGAAGTTGTTTGTCCCTCCAAGAAGTGGCTACAGCAAGAACAAAGATCTCTTTGCTAATCTGCTTTTTCTCCAGTAAAACCACTGGAGAACACTAACAACAAAATCCACAAATCCTCCTCAAGGTTTTTTTGCACAGAGAACACAAAGTCCAGTCCTCCCCGTCCTCCTGCAGCTAACTGCTCAGCTCAGACTGATGCAATGGTAGGAAATACTGAGGCAGAACACGCCTCCATCCGCTCAGGGTATTTCTGCTCCCCACAGCAAGGACACGATTTCAGCAACAGCCTGTCTCTCCACTGCAAACTACTGGCATTGGTTTTAATCCACCTGCTGCTTAACTGTGGTAAAAACTGGCAGGTTTGCTTTTTAGAAACCAAGTTTGGAAAGCATTTTTTTTTCCTTTGGCACATAAGTGCCTTTAAAAAGCTGGAATGAAAGTTTTATGCTTAGAGATGTCTCCCCTTCCCCTCTAGGCTGACCTTTAATGCTTACCCACGTGGAAAAGACATAACTTCTGTGTTATGAAAGCACTAAAAAGCATAACATTGGTACATATTTGCGGATACTGCCTTCCAATATCCTGAACTTCATCCCACGCTCCTCTGCTTTGACATGTGTAGCAGAGAGGATCCAAGTTCCTGGGATCATTTAGCAGCTTTGAAAGACTCTCACCTTTGCCTGGCTTTATGCATCATAAATACTCTTGTTTGGTTTCAAGCATAAAAATAAATCCAACTGGCTTTAAAATGTTTACTTCCAATATGAGCAAAGAAAAAATTGTCTTCTAGTAGCAAAAGACAAAGCTCTTGCCTTGCTATTCTACCACATTTTACCTTTAGCTGCTACTGATGCCAAGTACTTCACCCCTAAAACTTAAAACACATAATTGCTGAATCACAATTTTTGATCTGGAGAGCAGCTTTACAAAGCTCCCAGCTGACTTCGCTCCCTCCATCACAATGGATGCTGTCTACTGACTGGAGCCAACACTCAGCACCAATGAACATTCCTATCCCAGATTCCCCCATGTGCACAGAAGATGGCTTAGAGCAGCCTTGACAACACAACTCCCCTTCAGCTTTTGGGGCAAACGTCCCCACTGCGGCCAGAAGCGTGTGCTGAGAACAGATTAACTGACACACAGAACTGGCCTGGAGCACACTGTCTTTTTCTGCCTCTGCTACAAAGACAAGTTCCTTCTGGCACAGGGGCAGAAGCAGGGAGCAGAAAGCATTCATCACCACAGCAAGACTCACCACAACTTGTTAGGACCCCCTAGTATCTCAATACCTGCTCTCAACCTGTGCACAGATTTGCCCAGTAAGTATTTGCGTAAAGCTTTCTAGGAAGAGGCTACCTCCTTGCCTTGTGCTACAGCCTACTAACATGATACTAAAACTACTTCAACTATAACGTGCTTGGCAGGTTGTGCTGACACGCTGTCTTAGGGTGACCTTGGCTCACCTTCCTCCCCAGTAACCCTCAGGAAGGTCTCTGCACTCCCAGTGCCACGAGGAAGGGCACTAATTCCCACTGCTCACCTGATGCTGTGTTTCTGACCCCATTCACCGTGCCGTCCACATCTGCCTCATCCTCAGCGTAGCTCATCATTAAGGCTCTCTGGCGATCCGTCAGCCTCCTGCAGGTCGAAGACAGAGGCGGGATTATGGCTGTCTTTAGGGACAGATGCATCTACAGACCTCCTTAACCTTCTCCAGCAGCATGCCCAAGAGGCAGCTACTGGAAGTACAAGATTGATAAACCTGGCATACACTCCAAATCCCTAGGGGGCTCGGAAAATGGGCAAGCTATGACTAATAAACCCCAATGGAAAATGAGATATATGATCCACTGCATTTCACCAAACTGCAGTAAAAAAACCCACAAAATAAGTGCTAAGAACCATGTGGAGCTGCAACAGAACACACAGCTGGTGTGGAGACCTCAGGAAATTACCTCCCTTGCCCAGTGCAGCAATACAAGCTAACAAGTCCCCTTCACCACAGTAGCAGAGGGTGGCCAAGCCATCTGAAAAGCAACTGCCGAGGACTTCAGCTCCTCTCAGCTGTAGGTGTGAGAGCACAGACGCATTACAAGCTGGAGCACTGAGTTTATATAACCAGGATCCAGACACAATCACAGCCAGGCAAATACACAGGTCCAGAACTACTTACGTATTTCCAGGGTTTAGTAGTTTTAGAGCTGGGTTGCCAAATGGCATTATTTAAAAAAAAAAAAAAGTCTACTTCACATTAGAATAAAAAGCAGAGTGAGAAAGTAATGATCTTGATAAAGCAGTAAGGAATTTCCACAAAATCTCTCTGAACATCTTTTGCAAAAAGTAAGATCTCACAGAAACTTGCACTTGCTCTACTTACTGAGGAACTTTTATCTTTATGTGAATGTAGTGGTCTCCATAGCCGTAACTGTTGACCTTGGGAATGCCTTTCCCACTCATTCGAATTCTCTGGTCTGGCTGAATACCAGGGGGTATCTGTGAACAGAGAGGGGTGGCATCTGTTACTCCAGTTTAACCATTTATATAGTAATTATATGTCTATAAAAAATGAACTACTTCTCCAGCTTCAAAGTAGGATAGGAGAGATCTGGTATGTTCATGGATCTGGACACATTCAGAAGCTAAAGTGAAGTCAGTAATGACGGGAAAGCTTTTGAAGGAAGGAGTAAAGAACCTTGCACAGGCCGCAGACCTTGGATGGGATTTGTCCATCAATCCACCAGGCCCCTCCTTTCCCTGTCCCTACACAGCAATAGGAAAGGAGGTGTGACCAAACAGGTCACGAACTACCTGACACTCAATCCTGACGAGGTCTGAAACGCGATACTGGCAGACGTCAGAGATTTGCATCTCCTTTGCAGCAAAGGAGAAGTCTCTGTTGTCCCACATCGATTTATGCCCAAGCTCTTCCACATACAGTACTTACCGTGATATTGATTGTCTCATACAAGCCTTGACATCTGGCTGTGCCTCCCAGAACAGCCTGTGCTATTGAAATAAGGAGGTCTGAATGAATATCTGCTCCATTTCTTCTGAACACAGGACTTTTTTGAACCTAAAAGGCAAGCAGTTCCAAAGAGAAGTGAGCACAACACCATGGAGCTCTCATGGCAAACTGCTTTGAAAGTTCTCAGAAGAAAACATAACAGAACGCTGTAGTCAGACCCTTTACCATCCACAAACTGCACAGCTGAGAAGCCTAAGTTAATGTTCAGTCTTTTAGAAAAACACAGATCTTGACATAACTGGAATTAGCCAGAGGCTTAGGAGGACGCCTGCTTCCTATCTCAGCAACTCCCTCCCCTAATCCTGTTTGGTAATTTATCAGTGTCAGTATGACTCTGCGGAGACAGAGAAGGCACTGCCCCGTCCAGCACCCTCAGCAGAGGAAAGCCAGAAGAGAAGAGGGAGGCAAGCACCTTTGCAGTGGCCTCACAAGCTGGACAATTACATCCTCCTGCACTACAAAAAAGGTACTGAAAAGATTTTTCTCCTCGACGGAGACGTGCATGACAGGATACCTACTACAGAAGAGGGTCCCAGCTCCAAAACGTGCAGAGCAGCACTTGACGCCTATCTGCAAAAGGAGGCCTGACCAGCCAGCCTCTCACCACAGCAAGCAGGCAGCTCCTTCACATTTCCAAGTCAAAGACTCAAGGCAACAAGAACCTACTCTACATTTTGATGCACGCTACCACAAGGGCCTCATCCTGGAACAAGCAGCGCAATTCTTCATGAGCAGACTTAATGTTACACCACTTGTTACAATGCAGATCTTCTGCTATCTCACAAAGTTCACATGACTCATGTTACCTCAGCTGTTTCAAAGGATCACTCGCTATTCCTCCTCAGTCTCCCATTCAGTCAGACTCCCCAGGCAGTTGCGAAGGGAACAAGCAGCCAACTTAAATACTGAAAACAGCCAGCAATATAACAATACGTACCCTGAACGTAATGAAAATTTCTTTCTTCCCCACAGGCATCCGAACTGTCTGCCCATCCTCAACACCTGCAGTCAGAAAAGAAGAAGGAATGTTACCCTGCATTATAAGCCACACATTACTTGAGTATCTACACCTCTTGCCATCCCCAAAAGCCAGGCACCACTGCAGCACTGCACATCCAGCAGCACAAGACACAGTAACACTCTCCACAGGAGCTGCAGCCAAAGGAGGCAGGTGTCAGCACACAATTATACCTCTGAGGTGATAGGAACACTCCAAGCAGGCTCATGACTCCAACCCCTTACAGAATTCTTTAGGGAAATGCATCAGACTAAGGAACACTGGGCAGCCTGCACAAACTGCAGGAAAATTACAGGCTGCTCACTCACAGTGGTCTCAAAGAAGCACATCTTCAGCCCCACCGTTCATTTTATCCTCTCTGGTGAGGAAGGCCATGAGCACGCTTTTCTGAGCCAAGCTAAAGCTTTCAGAATTCCCAGCCCACATCCCAAACTTCATGAAGGACAAATGAAAGGCAACAAAACCTTTTGAGTTTCACTCTTCAAAAGCTGCCTAGAAGGATCCATGCAAGAACCAAAACCTCAGCTCAGGAAAGGTAAAGCAAACATTTACATCCACGGCCAGAAAGTTCAGCTCATTCCTAGCCCTTTCAATTGCCAAGCTGTCAACCTGCTTTGCTCTTAAGGTAACTTCTCTGCAACAAAGCTCCTTACATTGCTCTCACATTCATACCAGGCAGGGACCAGCCATGCTCTGGAGGCAAGCACCTTGCTGTTGGCTGAGTGGAAGCAAGTAGAGTTACTGAACAGAGAGCAGCACACAAGTACACCACTAACCAGCCGGCACAGGAACCATCACTGTCTTCCTTTGCTTGGTTTGTCCTGTTCCTCGACAAACTACGCACGGTGTTGTTATGATGGAACCACGGCCACCACATCGTCGGCACGTAGATCGCATTACAAAAGGGCCAGTATTTATCGTCTCCTGGAGAAGAAAACAGATTGTACAAATATTTGGTATTGTGCTGGTACTTTTCACTTCCACAAAACGCAGCCGGTGACTGGCCCAGCACACCTGATCCTCCTGACTGCACACACAACCTGGCAAGACAGCGATACCCTTTAGCAAGGGGTGGAGCAAAACAAGAGGTTGCTCAGAAATCCAAAGAGGAAGCTGCTTGTGAGAAGCTGGATCAGATTCAATTGCCATCACATTCTGATTTCCACTGACAACCATCGCTACCAGGAGCAAGTGTCTCATGGCGAGGGAAATGGTAATTTCCATCTCTAGGCTTTAAATCAGAAGCAGGAACAGAGCTTCTCACGGTGCTATTTCACAAGGAACTACAAATATCTGTGTTTTGAGGAATTCATGGACAATCCACCTGCATGAATTATTGCCAGTGTCCAGGAAAACGTTACAGAAACTAAGCTATGGTCTGAACTGTGGAAGTCACCACCCAGACTGAAACACACAAGGAAACAGTGGGAAGTGCTTGCAGTCTCCTCTGACCAACTACTCCTGTTCTGCACAGAAAGGTATTCTGGTCACACACTGACCACAGGTACCCATTTTGAGGTGTGGAAATTGAAAGCCTGAAGCTTGATCATTACTGTAAGTAACACGCATCTTATTTCGTGATTACCCTTAGGTTATCATCACCTTCCTCCTCACTTTGCCTCTATAAATTCAAAGTATCCCATTTAATGCCCAAGTAATTCAGAATTGTGATGTTATATAAATATGGTTAAGTAATTTCAGAACTGTTACATTATATAAATATGGGTTGCTGGATGTACAATAGCAGATGATCTAGCCCTGCAGGCTAGGGCTTCTAGCTATGCACAGCACTTCTTTAATACAAAGAAAATCTTCCTAGTGCCTATTAACATCCAGTCCACATTAACTCGGCTTTACCCAAGATAAGCTGATGACTGTAGTGAGAATTTCTCACTGCGGAAGGGACCGACTTGCCCCAGCAGGGAAAAGCACAGCACAACCTGTGTCTAAAAAAGGCCTTACCATGCCAGTGCCATTGCAGTAGTGACAGCGCTGCGCTTTGGTACCAGGTTCGTGTCCCTTGCCATCGCATCGTTCACAGGAGTCATTAATGTTCACCACAATCTCCTTGTTGACACCTTTTGCAGCTTGGGTGAATGTCAGTTCCATGATATACTGTACAGGAAACATGGGCATTAAGCTACAGCTGAAGTGCGATACCGTCTTAGGCAGACTGAAATTTGTTTAGGCCAAATATGAAACAATGCTTAAAATACATCCAAGTAATAGAAGGGAGAAGAAACAAATTCAGATGGATTCTGCCTCACTTGAGGAAGCAATGATCTGTCTCATATAAATAAAAAGGGTATAGAAGGATAGTAAACATGACAGGAATTATGATTACACCAGACTGGTGAGCAGTTACATAGCAGAAATGAGATTTAAAAATATAAAAGAATGAAGTAAAAATAGAAGTCAAGCTTTTTCTCTGCCCTTAGAAGAACTCTTAATACTTCCAAAGGGTTTGTTTAATGGGAATGTAGCAACAGGTGAGGGAGAAGGCTTCCGATCCCAATGGATCCCAAGCTCTTCCTCAATAAAGTCTTTACATCAGCAAAGATGACTGCACAAAATAGGAAATTCTGCTTATAAAAGACAGGCCATTTTTAGTAAAGCCAGAAGTACCAAATGACAAGCATTTCTGAAGGCAGCACATGAAGCAACACTGTCAACACTTAAGAGAGCATTTAGCTGCAGTACGAAGAACAAGACAGGTTTTGCATTATTATGGGCTCCACTGCAAAAATTAAGCCAATTAAGCAGTCAAACCTAACGCTGGAAGGCTTGTTTTATAGTTAAAAGGTATTTTGTGGGTTTTAGCATTGCAAATCAAAGCAGACATATGTAAATAAATGTACAGCAGAAAAGATGCCTCCACAATGATGGCATTGTTTGGCAGCAGCAACTGGCATCAGTAAACACCAGATGAAGGAGCTGAAGTCTAGAAAAAGTATTTTGTCTGGAGGCATGGACGATGTGTCCACACAGCTTACCAAAAATACAGATGCTCCCACCCATACAGTGGGACACTCACACGCTGACACCCCCCGAGCAAATTCTTTGCTTAAGCTCACTCCTGGAGCAACCTTTGAAGCAGACTAGTGTCCCTCTCCAGTTTTTGTGGTTTTCATTTGCCATTTTTGTGTCATTGCTCAGAAAATAAACACCCTTCGTACCTCCTGAGGCTGGTCAAAGGCGTTCTGAAAATCGCCGAAAGGGGATCCCGAAAACTCTCCGAAGATTTTTCGGAAAAGCTCTTCCGGATCAATGGACGGGCCGCTGCTCCAGTACTGCCGCCCGGCACCGGTGCCTGTTGCACCAGGATCAAAACTAGCCGTGCCGTACGCATCGTATTGTTTCCGCTTCACTTCATCACTTAACACCTTCGAGGCAAAAAGGACACCGTGAGGACACTGTACAGGTCCCCAGCACTGGGCAGCCCGTCCCTGCAGAGCAGCGTCTCTTGGGAGAGATCCCGGCTGCTGGCGTGACCACCACAAGCCCATGTTCTCAAACCCTCCTGTCAGCGGTGGGGGCTGTCCCCACTCTCAGCAGCCCATGAGTTACTGACAAGCACCTTCTTCTCTGGTATCTCTCAGCTCATCATCAGGAAAATGACAAGATCTTACTGATTTAGAAGCAACAGTAATTTATATTATATAGTTGATCATTAATATATCGTGTCAAAGCTGGTGATACAAGTGCTGGGGTATATGTGCAAACCCACAAGAGCAAAAAATCAACACAAGAAGATTTCTCAGCAAAGAGAAGTTTCTTGAGGTCTTCCTAAAGAGCAAGAAGAAACGGGGCTGGGGGGAGCACAGTGGAAGGCACCTCTGTCTCAAACAGCTCGTAACTGCTGACAAGGTTTTGTTGTTTATTTAAGCTGACCAATAATTCCACTGCAGTGACGACAGCATCCATGCCAGTCACTCACTAAGAAAGGGCACAAATTCAAACAGCCCAAAACAACATATCCAGCTAAATCCAATATTTGGGCCAAGTCATTTCCTGGAGACACTGCTGGGACAGAAGCACTCAATGCCCAAAGTACAAGATGTGAAAAATTAGCCCTGGCTTAACAGAAAATGCACAAAATAAATGTTTGCTCCCATCCATCCTCCAATCTTTCCTTCTTTTCATTACAGTAGAAACATGCATATTACCTCGTAGGCTTCTGCCAGCTGCGAGAACTTCTCTTTAGCTTTAGGGTCATCCTTATTTGTATCAGGGTGGTATTTCTTTGCCAGCTAAACAACAAAAATTCAAGTATCAGGGACAGACAAAAGTACCTTACTTTAGCATGGTTCAGATACCAGGAAAAACACATGAGACAAGGCTTGGTGTTCACTATGTTTGTTTTAGGCAACTAAAAGCCTTCATTTTCTGTTATCATCCCAACATGAGGAACTACAGAAGCTGCTCCTAAGTCTCCCAGCAATCCCAGGACCTTCTGGAAGGGGACCCGAGATGCCAGGACAGGTGGTCCACGCTTTCCAAGAGATCTCTAAACCAGTGTGCTGAGCTTTCCCATCATCACCTCCCCTTGTCTGCAACGGGTCCAGACACCGAGACCTCAAAGCTGGTTTTGTCCTGTTCTGCACCACAGAGACTGCGGGCAGCTACAGGCTTTCGGCCACGGCGTGGTGGTCACCCACCCACCCCAGCAGGGTTCCCCCGGCCAGACGTGCCTGGTAGTAGGCCTTCTTGATCTCCTTCTGGGTGGCAGAGCGGGGCACCCCCAGCACCTGGTAATAGTCCTCCTTGGCGTGGGCCGCGGCGCTGCTGTGGAAGGCAGCGGCGGCGGTGCGCTTCGTCCCTGCGGGAGAGGAGGACAGAGGGATCGGGGTGAGGGCCAGGACGGCGCTGCAGAAGGCAAGAGGCGGGACGAGGCCGAGAAGGGGCCCGGCCCCCACTAGGCACCACCGCCCCCTACC